AAGGGTGAAGTGGTCCAACTCCACCTTCAAGGCCTAATGACCACGTCAGTGATCAGCACAGCAAACGATGTTGGTGCAGTAGTGGCACTTTTATCTTGGGGTAATCAGCTACCTAATTGGACTTAAAGCCCACTCAATGGGAGGAAATTCATGTGTGGTACCATAAACCTAGCTAAATACACATAGCTGGAGAGGTCATAGATCTTAAAGAAAATCCCAAGGCTGTCACATCCATAGACAAATATAATTTATTATGTACAAAATATGGAGCCTTAAATTTACAGACAAGTATCCCAGTCACCACCCATCAAAGAAGCTTTTTCAACAGATAGAGATTATTACAGTGTTCCACAACTGGTCGTGCACAGAGATTGTCTGTGAATTGCCTAAGGCTCACAGAACATAGAACAAGGATGAAGAGAACACTCATGCATCTTTCAGTTCTCATCAATGAAGCTCCCTTATGCAACAGCTGGCCAGGAAAGCAAAAGGTCACAAATGGCCAAAACGTGGAGAATAAGAGACTACAAAGTGAGTCATTGGACAGGACTCCTGTATTAAAATCCACCTACCCAGGGCCCGGGGACCATTGCGGAAGAGGGAGCAGAAAGATTGTGAGAACCAGGAAGGAAGTGCGTGACCATATGGAAATACAGTCCTACAGACTCCTGGGACCCTTCTCATATGAACCTACTGCAATGGTGTCAGCATGCACAAGACCCACACAAACTCAAGCAGACAAAAAAACAGCACAGAACTGTGGAAATGGACAGCAGACCCCAATCTTGGTCGAAGATTTGTTGGCTGTTGATTACTTATGACTGAGGAGGAGCTGATCTTCTTAAAGGGAAGGACCCTAGATAGGCTGACTGGGCCTCAGTGGATGTACTTGCACTGAGGGACATCTGGGGACACTAACTTGACATAATAGGCCTTAACACAAATGACAGAATGTGTGAAATCCAGTTGGAGAAGGGAGGCATAGGAGAGTTCCAATGGGGAAAAGGGTACAAAGGTAATTAAGATGTTCTGTATGAAATGCACAAAAATTCGGTAATTTTTTTTTAAAACCTAAATAATAAAAAAGTTTTGTTTTTGTTTTTTGAGATGAAGTCTCATTATGTAGCCCTGGTTGGCCTAGAACTTGCTTTGTAGACCAGGCTGTACCTTGAACTCACAGAGCGTTCTCTGCCTACCTCTGCCTCCCAAGTGCTGGGATTAAAGGTGTGCATCACCACACCCATAAATTTTTATGGCTGAGATGTTAATGCATCTGTAAGTTAGACTTCCACCATTTCTCAACTATGTTATGTTTTCAGTACACTTTTGGATCTAACAGTTTTCAACAAAAGACTTGGAAATATTTAAAACAACCTTAGGCAAGTTATGAAGAGCAGAGCAGGTAGTGTTCCCATGACCTTGGAAGTCTCTGTAGGTCTCACGCTAGACTTTTGGTTGCTCCTCAGCACTTCTCTGCTGCCCCAGCAGAAGTACTTGTACTTGCAAGGTCTCTTTTGTACTCAAAAGGCAACATTCTTGCTATTCCAGTAAAAGTTCGAGGTCCTGGAGCTGGGGAGATGGCTCAGAGATTAATAAGAGTACTGGCTGCTCTTGCAGAGGACCTGGTTCAGTTCCTAGCACCCACATGGTGGTTAACTCCACTTGTAACTCCAGTTCTAGGGTATCCATCACCGTCTTCTTGACTTTAAGGGTATTGCACAGATGTGTTGCACTTACATACAAGCAAGCAAGACACCCATACACATAAAATAAAAATAAGTTAAATTTTTCTAAAGTACACAGCCCCTTTGTGTGCCCATTGAGATTGAACTTTGTTCTGACTGGAAGAAATTTGTGGCCTGCTCCCACTCCATACAGGGTCACATCAGCTGTTAAATTCACAGTCCAACCTGACAGACACTGTAAAGGCCATAGCAACAGTAATGTATTGCAGACAGCAGAATTCGCCCTTCAAAGTGTAAGCAGAGGGGATTTAATACTGATTCAGAGAAGTGTTTATAAAGAAGTGCTGGAGGACCGACTCCTCTGAGTTCCCAGAACTAGGTCTGAGCTGCCTATAAAGCCCAGCATTGCCATGATCAGGAAAGTGCTTGCTCTGCAAGCATGAGGACCTGAGTTTAGATTCCCAGCACCCACCAAAAGGCCAAGTTAATGCAGAAAGGACATCCCAGCACCGGAGGTACAGGCAGGAAGATCCCAGGGGCTTGGTGGCTAAATCACTGAGCTTCAGGTTAAGTGAGAGACCCTGTCTCAAACATAAGGAGGAAAGCAATAGAGGAAGACACCCAGCATCAAACTCTGGCCTCCACACACGTGCATACATATGCATGTGCACCCACATAGCTGCGCACACACACACACACACCACCTACACTCTAATAATTTAGCATGTAATTGGTACAGTAGAAGATCAATGAAAGCTTTTTATGCGTGTTCTATTTGTACTAAGTTTTCCAGAACAACATAGATGTTGCACTTAACACAGCTCACTTCAGACTGTCTACATTTCAGTTGCTCAGTAGCCACCAGGCTGAACAACAGCATCAGACAGTTGTCCCTTCACAGGCCTTTGCTTGAGCCCGAAGCCTCACTTGGCTCCCTCCCTTATTGAGGCTTAGAGAGCACTTTGTAAATCTTTTGTATGCAAGTAATTGAAAGAAATCTCAAATGTTCAAAAGAAAATATGCCTCTCATCCCAAAGTTCTGCTTTATTATTTATTTGTTGTTTTAGTACTAAAGCAACCATAAACTCCAGAGACACTGAGTGTCAGAAGATATTGGGGGCCTTTGAGTAAAGAGTAACAGACTGGATGGGGAGATGGCTCAGTCAGTAAAGTGCTTGCTGGACAAGCATGAGGACCCAAGTTTGGATCCCCAGCACCACTTACAACATGTGTCTATAATCTTAGCACTTGGGAGGTAGAGACAGGAGGATCCTTGGAGCTTGCTGACTATCCAGTCTAGCCAATCATTGAGCTCTAGGCTCAGTGAGAGACCCTGTCTCAAACATTAAGGTGGATAGCAATAGAGAAAGATATCCCATGTCAACCTGTGGCCTGCGCACATGTGCATACACACCCACACATGAACTCATCATGTACCAAGACAGCTCTTTGCCGCCTTCCACAGTGAAAAGCCTTTGATGTCTACTTAGTTGCTTAAGGTAAACAGGCATGGTTAGTTGGACTTGCAGGTCAAGGGTGCAGCAGGTGGCTTCTGCAGCCTAGGGAAGGCAAGGAGGAGAGCTGAGTGATCCCTTGCAAAGAAGAATTACCAGGGGGTCTTAGTGAGAAAGGGGTTACAGGAACAGGTGGGGGTCAGGTGGATCCTTCTGTGTTGGGCATAGGTCACCAGTGTAACTTCTGTTTTTTAGCATGCCTCAGTCTTAGGCCTGCTTGGCATTCCTGGAGCAGCTTGGAGTGGACAATACTTGTCTGATTTCAAATAGTCAGTGGAGTGGGGTTGCTTTCCTTGGCACCAGCCACACAGCTCCCTGTGGACACCCTCCACAGATGGCACTGCCCTGAACCATGAGGCCTCCTGCCTTTTGCCTTGTCATGGTCTTTCCAAAAACAGATTATAAAGAACACCTCCTGACCAAATGTTATTTAATATTACTCTTTTTTTTTTTAAAGGAATTAAGAAAATGGTTTTTTTTGTTGTTGTTGTTGTTTTTTGGGTTTTTTTTTTGGTACTAAACACAAGTGACTATGGCCCTGGAGTATGGATTTATGTTTCCCCAAATGACATGTTCTTTATTTTTTATTTTTCTATTTCCAAGTAATTGATTTAGTTGGCTTGTCTTTCTCTCACTGAGGTCAAGGTGAGTTGAGATCCTGTTAATTGGCTCTGAAAAACATTCCAATCAGAGGGAACACGGATGCTCCTTTCCGTCAGAGTAGCCCCTCCATCTCAGGCTCACCTGGTCCAACTACCTCCATTTGCCAACACAGAAAGAGCAGGTGCCTCTCAGATTTGTCAGTTCAACAAGCATTTGGTGTTTACACACTAACTGCCATTCCTCTGAATTGTGGAGTTTGGTTCTTTGGTCTCTAGTTTGTGGCTAGTCTTAAGCTCTTTTTATGGCTATGCAAGGTTGTTTTGAATTAGATAAACAGTACTACTGGAGAGTTGCAGTGATGGCTTTAGATCCCACCACTGTTGGCCTCCAAAAGCATTCTAGACATAGCTTTCCCTGCTCAGTCAGCACTGTCTTTCATGTAAATGAGTTTGTGATTGTTTAAATACTTGCTAGATCTGTATAATTCACTACTAGAATAAAATACTGGAGACTGGGTGACTTTATAAAAGAGGTTTATTATGGCTTACAGTTCCAATCAAAGTATTTCTGGTGGTAGCTTTCTTGCTGGTCAAGCCCTGAGATGGTGCCATGTGTGTGCGTGTGCATGTGCGTGCGTGCATGCGTGCGTGTGTGTGTGTGTGTGTGTGTGTGTGTGTGTGTGTGTTGTGTGGTGTGTTTGCACATGCCTCTGGTCTTACTCTTCTAAGGCAATTGGGATTGGCTCATGTAGGCCCAACACTAGTGACTTTATCTGATCATAACCACTTCCCAAAGGTTCTCCCTCTAAACACTATAGTCATACTAAGATTCCACTTTCTTAACACTTTACAATGGAAATTAAATGTCAACACATGAGCCCTTGGGGGACACACTCAAATCACATCCAAATCATAGCAAGATCCCTTTGACTTGACTTTATGGGTGCTATGATCATGTTGAAGGGTGTTATGGGATTTGGACAGATCCAGGGCAGTGCCTCTACACCTAAGTTCCTGAGCAGCACTCTGCAGGCAGGTTGTGATGCAGCCTTGGTAGGCACCTGGGGCTTTATCCTGCTTTGGTGTCCTCCTGCATCAGGCTCTCGAGCAGGCTGTCCTTGGGGAGGGGTACAGGGTCAGGCTGTGGTGAGCTTGTGCTGGTCTCTCGTTCTCAGCATCTTTTCCATCTTCTGCTTCAGCACAGCGCCTCAGCCTCCAGGCTTGCTGATGGATCCTCTTACCAAGGGGTCCTGTGGGAGTCAGCTGGCACAAACCCTTCTCTGGAAAGCAAAGTCATCTCTCTCCTTTGGCATCCAGCCCCTTCAGGCATGGCCAACAAAAGACCCTGAACTAGAGTCGCAGGTCAACCTGTAAGTAAGTAAAAGAAGCAGTGTTTCACTGTGGGCTCATGTTCATTGTGTCTTCAAATAGGAGGGGACATGGGGCTTTGGGAGAATGAATTCTGTTCCAGATGATGTCCTATATCACAGCATTACTCTAGTCAACTCTTGAGTCAGGCATGATGAGCAAAGCAGTTCCTGTCATGGGAGACTTACAGTTCATGGCAGATAACCACTCACCTGTTATTACTCAGGTGAGTACTAGTGAGCTAGGACAGGCACCATGAATTGGGTTGCCTTGAAAGTAACCATTTCCAGAATGCTGTATGTGTACTAGCTGCATACAGTGTATGAAGAAAGATGTTTCCTTTACCCTTCAATATCAAGTAATATGTGGAAGAAAAAAATAATGATGAAATCATAATAACTAACTGTAAAATAACTAATATGTCAACGGACTCTAAGTGCCATAGGGTAGTACTGTGCTTTTCTGTGTGCTCCCGAACCCCAGGCCTTTGTCACAGCATGTGCTAATATTTGTTGGATGAATAAGTCTGTGAATGAAGAAGATGCTGCCAGGGAGGGAAGTGTAGCTCTCCAGGGAAATCAGAGATATCAAGGTGCAACAGAGTGATTGCCTTCAAAACAGGAAGTGTTTTGTCAACCCAACACAACACCTGTTTATGGAAGTTTACTGTTCTCAGTGCTTTTGGGAAGTGAAGATCAGGGGAAGGGCAGAAGCATCTTGGGCCTCAGATCCACTCCTAGGGACTCTGGAGAGAATGAAAGAGGACCTAAACTTTAGGATGTCTGCCCACAAGGAGCTCACAGTATATCCAGGGAGCTGGACAAAATGGAGGAAGTATCATGCTGGAACAACAGGGAAGGGGAAGTGGTGAGCTCAGCCTTGGAGGAGGAGCCTGGGTGAGCCAAGGGAAGGGGTATAAAGGCTGCTTTGAACATTGGCAAATCCCAGAGCAAAGGCTCATATTCATTCATGAGAGTGCTGTGTCCCAGCAATGCTGACAAGTTGTACATCAGCCATCCTTAGCCTGTCCTGCACATGGTACTCACCTATGGAGAATATATACACTTCTCCACTGTCCCTCTAAAATTCTGATGTCTAGAATGGGTCAAGCCCCAGATGATTCTCATGTGTGACAAACACTGAGAATGGCAGTTGTAACTGCCCATTATGAGACATACGCAGAATGATCATAAAGCCCTTATATGCCCAGCTGAGGGATCTGATCTTTCTGTCAGGTAGTGGGAGCCATCGATAGCTTTAACAGTCTTCATGGGAAACGTAAAAGATGCACTGTACAAAGGGAAATTCATGATTGCCAGTTCCTAGTGCATCCCAAAGGAAAACTGCTTTTCAGAGCCACTCCCATACTACCCATCAGTTGCCTCTTGGGTGACAGAATTCATTGTCACTTTGATCTGAAATGGAACTTGAAGATTTAGGTTAATGCTCAATTCACTGAGCAACTAGTAAAGGGCTGTAGAGGAAAGGGAGGAAACCCAGGGCTGCAGCTGTCAACAGGGGGAGCAGGGCAGAGGCTGGGCTTCATCCCTCCCTTGCTCATTAGAGGTGGGAATTTGGCTTGTGGTTTGGATATTCCCCCACACCTTCTACACTAGTTCCCACTGTGAACCAAGCCTACAAGGCCTGCTTTGTAGACTACAAGCCTCTCAGCACACCACACTGTGACATAAAAAGGGATGGGGCAAGACTGCTGGAGAGCCTGGGCCATGGTAGAGGCAGCCAAGCAGTGCTTCCTCAGTTGAGAGCCTTCACTGGCACTCCTCATCCATCACTACATCAGAATGGGGGAGTCAGGCCAAGGGCTGCTCCCCAGGCTTGGGGCAGACTTGAAATGTGATTCTACCTGGATCCAGAGGTTACTTCTTTGGAAAGCCTGTTGGAAAGATGTTTCTTCATGAACCACCTCCTTGTTGTGGGCTAGTCCTTCATAAACTCATCCATTCAACAGATATCGACCATCCGTGTACCAGGCATTGCACAGACATTTGCCTAAATTTGTTCTCTTTAGTCTTCACAAAACCAACAAGAGAGCTGCCTACTGTTATCTGTACTTTACACATAAGGAAGCTGAGGTCCAGAAAGGTCAAGAGATGTGTCTAGGGCACAGTTTGCAAGTGACAGTGGGGATTTGAGCATGTATTTGTCCAGCTTAAGTGTTCATCTGTGAACCCTGGTGAACTGGGCTGTGCCATCAGGGGAGCATTGCTTATGGGATGTCACTACCTGCAGGACATTTGGTAATATCAAGTCCTATCAATGGCAGACACCAAAGAAGTTGACCAAGCCAAAGCTAAGTCTCATGCTAAGTTCCATGGTGCTACAGAGACCTGCTCTCCACCAGAAAAGATCTCTGGGGTCTGTGAATTGGTTTTCTGTGTACCTGTATTCTGTTCCTGGCCTTCAACCAAGCATTTGGGTTGTAGAGAAGACAGTTCCCTTCAGATCAAGGGGCGGGGGCGGGGGGGCTACACAAGTACTAGTAACCTGGGTAGTCGATGTCTTCTCAGTGGGATGAGCAGGTGAAATTTGGAGACTTTACTAGGTAGGTGCGGAGAGAACTTCCCAGGTAGAAGAGGCCTTGTGTACAAAGGTGAGCATCATTAAAACACCAGGATAATAGGAAACCAGGAGCAGTCTGGTTTGGCTGGTGGCAAGTAGTGAGCAGTAAACTTGGGGCCAGGTGACAGAAGCAAAGCCATTGAGTGAACCATGGGCCTGGACTCTGTGGGTGGGGCATAACCTATTCAGATTTGCATATTGGGAAGATAACTGTTTGTGGTAAGATAAGTCTAGTGACAGGGTAAGAGTTCTGATGAGTGGCAGGAAAAAATGGGATTAAGCTGGGAAATATTTTGGAGGAAGGTTAGGATGGACCCGGTAGGCATATCCATAGCGAGAGAAGGAAATGAAACTTGTGTTTTGTCTCAGGCAGCAGAGTGGTTTTTGGTCTTGTCACCAGTGAGGGCCCTAAGATGTGACAGCACAAAGGCCAAGACAGAACCAAAGCAAAGCTGTCAGGGCTGAAGAGGTATGGTTACATCTGTAGGTGTAAGGAATACTTAGGAAAGACTTGGGGAGGGACTGGAGAGGTGGCTCAGTTGTTAAGAGTGCATACTGCCCTTGCAGAGGAACTGAGTTCAGTTCCTAGCACACACTTTGAGTGGCTCATGACCACTTCTAACTCCATCCCCAGGGGGATCTGTGACCTCTGGCTTCTAAGGGCATATAGTCACCTGCACATATCCATGCATACACACACAATTAAAAATGATAAAAATAAATTTTCAAAAGGGCTGAGGGATGTGAAATGGACCTTGAAAGCAGTAGGACCTTCATCCCCTTTTCTCTTCAGTAGATTTAACTAGGCAGGGATGAGGAGGGGAGTTCTAGAAAGCAAGAGCAGCATGGGCAAGGCACAGAGCACGGGACAGTCCTGGAACACGCCTGAGCAATGGCATGTCCTGGCTTGCCTTGCTTGTGGTAAAGTAATAAGCAGGGAAAGTCAGAGTTGGAGAACTTACTAGGAGGATGCTGTACTGAGTTCTAGGAACACTAGGAGTCTCTGAGTGGCCCTTGAGGCAGGCAAGCAATGGTTTGAGGTCTGTTTGAACAAATCACATCACAGCTGTGTATAGTAAGGAAGTCAGGAGGCTAGTTAAGGTATGAACTTAAAGGGTACGTTGATTATAAGTCAAAAATTCCAACCCAGATTATCTTAGGCCAGGAAGGAGGGCCACAGGGGTTCATAAAACCAGACTAAGAATAGCAGTGGGGCTGACGAGATCCAAGGACTCCAGTGCCATCAAGTTGGATGGCTTTGCAACGTGAGGAAAAAGCTTTCCTTTCTAGTTAGAAGAATCTGAGGAAGGGCTTGAGTTGCCCAGCCAGGATCACAGGCCCCTACCTAGTTCTACCTGGGAGTGTCCCTCTTGGTGAGCAGAGCAGCCTTAGAGAAGCAAAGGAGTGTCCAGGAGGCAAGAGGACAGGATGTGGATGGGCCGTGAAAGTGGAGGAGCTTCAAGGAGAGGAGAGGCAGTGTGACTCCCCACAAAGATAGCTGGGGTGGGGGTGTCCAAAGCAAAGGCCATGGAATCTGTTCACTGAAAATTCCTAGTGGTGGGAGCCAGGTATCTGCATAAAAATAACTAACAACAGGGCCTTGGGGATGAGAACTGGTTGAATGTGCCAATTGGGACGACCTGGCCCACCTCTGAGAAGCAAGGTCTGTTGGGAAGGCAAGGGGCACGACTTGCTAAGGTGCTTCTTGCTTTTCCAAATTCATAACCTTGGTTCCAGGCTACGACTGATCATAACATGAGACAAAATTTCTTCACAGAAGTTTTTCAGCTCAATCTATGGGAGAAAGCAAAGAAGACTGTCAGAAAGATGGTCATTCCTCGCCATGTTCCCTAAAAGGATGTCAGCCAGGAGGGCAGGGGAGCTTGGAACATGGGGAATGCCTGCTGGGTGATCTGTCCTCTTTGCCAAAGTCTTTGTTGTACTTGGTTAGTACACACTGCTATAAAGTTGGGTTTCTAAAACGTTGACATTTCAGACTCAGTTCCCTCCCAGTACTTAGTTTAGTTTACTTTTTTTTTTTTTTTTTTTTTTTTTTTTTTAAAACCCTGTAGCCAGCTGTCCTGGAACTCACTATGTAGACCAGGCTGGCCTTGAACTCACAGAGATCCGCCTGCCTCTGCCTCCTGAGTGCTGAATAGTTTACTTTTTGATCACGTGAAGAAATTTGAAACCAAGGCAACTACTAAACAGTAGTTTATGCAGTCATAAAAAAAGTTAGCTTTGGGCTGGAGAGATGGTTCAGTAGTTAAGAGCATGTACTGCTTTTACAGAAGACTGGGGTTTGGTTCCCAGCACCCACATCAAGTGGCAGTTCCTGGGGATCTGATGCACTCTTCTGGTCTCTGCAGGCATCTGCATTCATGTGGTACACACACATACACTCAGGCAGACACACATTAAC